ATGTATGTGTGTGTGTGTGTATGTATGTGCGTGTGTGTGTAGAGAAAAATATTAGTTCCGTTCGTTCAAAGTGTCTTGACCAATGCAAGCTACTTACTGTTTTGTGTGCGCACATCCCGGCCACTGGTTCGGCTTCCCTGAACAGCGATACTTCCACCTTTATTCATTTTTGTTTATGTGTAGCTTGTGTGAAAATGTGTGTGTGTGTGTACTGAGTGAATGTAGATCGACAGATATGTGACGAAACAGATAACGAGGGTGATTCCTGTGTCTTCGTCCTTCCGGCCTTCAGCATTCAGCACAGTTAAACTCAATATTTTTTGTCGATGTTTTTTTTGGCAATCGGGAATGTGTCATATTTTTGGTGGCATTCCTCGTGGCACTGTGGCGGTGAAGTGTCAAATGTGTAATTCTGAATTCAAAGTTCGGTATCTATGCACACCAATTAATTCTTGTTTATATATGGATTCTGTTTCTCTTGTTCCTATTCGTACATACTGAATTTTTTTTTATAGAGTAGAGGGTGGTTGCTAATATTACTGTTTAGTGTTTAGTTTTACATCTGCTCACATTTTGTATCCAACCGATTATGAATATAGTCTCATTTATCTGAACAACCATTGACTAAATTCTCTACGCCAAGCCAATCCAGAGTTAGAACTTGGCATTCCTCTGTTGCTTGAATCAACACATCCTCTTGAATCAACACAGATCAGGCAATAAGTCAACAACAATATAAATAACAAATATATAGAGACATAAACCTCATGCCCTACTCAGTTGACACTTTACTCAACAGAACGTATATAAAGTCAATCTAATAGTAAACGGTTAGAGTGTTGAGCTTTGTGTTGCCTTCAGTAATAGCTTGTTGCTGAACAAACGGGATCGAAGCATTGCATCAGTATCAATAGATCTCGCAAACACAAACAAATACATAAAAGTAATATATAGATAGGTCTAGATCCGCTCTCAGCATGTTTCTGCAAACAGTTGAGATAGAGGAGAACGGCGTTATTCCTAACGTCCCTTTAGTGCCGTCCGAAAAGGTGGTTTACTTCATACGACATGGTCAGAGTATTGCCAACATAGCCACTATGGAAGAGAAACGCGACGAACAGTACATTGACGCTTGCCTGACTGATGAAGGGGCACAGCAGGCCAGAGGCCTATCACGACGTGTTCAAGCGTTAAATCTGCAGACGGTAGTGTGCTCTCCTTTGACACGGGCAATCCAGGTATGTATCTGTTTCATGGTGTTTGTACTCGTTATGTTGCTGCGATTGTGGCGCCCGAGATTTATGAGTTTGTAAATGTATTCGTTGTTTGAAGCCGAGCCGCGAACCCATGCAATGGCCGAAGGTGGACTAGTCGTGCCTTCTTATTGAATAACAAGGTATTCACATCAATATATATGTATAAATATATATATGTATATATATATATATATATATATATATATATATATATATATATATATATATATATATATATATATATATATATATATATATATATATATATATATATATAGTATATATATATATATATAATATATACTATA